CACATCCGAGGGAACGAGGGAGCTGCTCCCCAGGAGCACAGCCAGGATTTTTATCCCCAAGCCCATAAACCCGGGATTTTTATCCCCAAGCCCATAAACYCAGGATTTTTATCCCCRAGCCCATAAAACCGAYTCCTTTGTGCCTTGGCTTCAATAGTCCCGACTTCCCCTCTTTTTTCAGGATTTTATTGCTCCGCCAATTCCCTTCGCCCACAGGAAAGGATTTCCCACACAAAGGCCTCTCCTCCCTGCTGATGAGCCAGGCTGCAAATTCCCCGAATTTCCTGTCGGGAAGGTTATGGGAACCCCACAAAGTGCCCTCCACCCTCTGTCTGACTCCATCGCTGCCGTTTTTCCCCCGCAGGAACTCCCATCAACCGGATCCCCATCATGGCCAAGCAGATCCTGGACCTGTACATGCTCTACAAGCTGGTGACCGAGAAGGGCGGCCTGGTGGAGATCATCAACAAGAAAATCTGGAGGGAGATCACCAAGGGCCTCAACCTGCCCACCTCCATCACCAGCGCCGCCTTCACCCTGCGCACCCAGTGAGTGGGAACGCCAGGAATTCCAGTTCCTGTGTGGAATTCCTGCTTTCCGTGTGGAATTCCCATTCCTGTGTGGAATTCCTGCTTTCCATGTGGAATTCCCGTTCCCATGTGGAATTCCTGTTCCCGTGTGGAATTCCCATTCCTGTGTGGAATTCCCCGTTCCCACATGGAATTCCCATTCCTGTGTGGAATTCCCATTCCTGTGTGGAATTCCCAATTCCCTCCTGGAATTCCCGTTCCTGCGTGCAATTCCCGTTCCTGTGTGGAATTCCCGTTCCCATGTGGAATTCCTGTTCCTGTGTGGAATTCCCCATTCCCACATGGTATTCCCGTTTTCATGTGGAATTCCCATTCCTGTGTGGAATTCCCAATTCCCTCCTGGAATTCCCGTTCCCGCGTGGAATTCCCGTTCCCGTGTGGAATTCCCGTTCCTGTGTGGAATTCACGCTTCCTGCCTGGAATTCCTGCTTCCTGTGTGGCATTCCCGTTCCCACCTGGAATCCCTGCTTCCCACCTGGAATTCCCATTTCCCTCCTGGAATTCCCGTTCCCATGTGGAATTCCCAATTCCCTCCTGGAATTCCCATTCCCATGTGGAATTCCTGTTCCTGTGTGGAATTCCAAATTCCTGTGAGTTCTGAGAGAATTCTGGATGGTTTATGGTTGATATTTCAGTTGTGACACAATTCTGGATGGTTTAAAGAGGATATTTCACTTGTGAGGGAATTTTGGAGAATTCCTTGAGGGTATTTCAGTTGTGAGGGAATTCTGGAGGGTTTATGGATTATATTTCCGTTGAGAGGGAACTTTGGATGATCCTTTCAGGGTATTTCAGTTGTGAGAGAATTCTGGATGGTTTAAAGATAATACTTCAGTTATGAGGGAATTCTGGATGTTTTATAGATGACATTTCAGTTATTAGGGAATTTTGGGTGTTTTGTAGATGATAATTCAGTTGTGGGGAATTCTGGGTGGTTTATGGATGATATTTGAGTTATGAGGGAATTCTGGAGGGTTTATGGATGATATTCCCGCTGTGAGGGAATTTTGGAGAATTTAGATGTGTTGTTTCAGTTGTGAGGGAATTCTGGATGATCCTTTGAAGGTATTTCAGTTGTGAGAAAATTGTGAATGGTTTAAAGATAATATTTCAGTTATGAGGAAATTCTCGGGTGTTTTATAGATGATAATTCAGTTGTGAGGGAATTCTGGATGGTTTATGGATGATATTTCAGTTGTGAGGGAATTCTGGATGGTTTATGGATTATATTTGAGTTATGAGGGAATTCTAGGTGGTTTATGGATGATATTGCCGCTGTGAGAGAATTTTGGAGAATTTAGAGGTGGTGTTTCAGTTGTGAGGGAATTCTGGATGGTTTATGGGTGATATTTCAATTATGAGGGAATTCTGGCGTATTCTTTGAGTGTATTTCAATTGTGAGGGAATTCTGGGTGGTTTATGGATGATATTTCAGTGAGGGAATTCTGGATCATTATCCCCAGGCCCCTGAACTCCCTCCCTCTCTTTCCCTCTCCCCAGGTACATGAAGTACCTCTCCCC